TGTCCTTTAACTGTGGAAAGACATCCTACACCTAGAGCCCTCTTGAGAGAAGATAAAAATGAGGGCAAAGAGCCCTGGTCCCCTACTCTTCCTCTTCCCCTTCGATCTGTGGTGGATATGGAAGGAGCATCTCCTTATCAAATATTGGTTAGACAGGCTGTGCTTAAGGGAGAGCCCTTTGGGATGCGTGCACTTCAATTAACATTCATCCTGACCCTAACAATCTGCAAGAAAATGTTCATGAGCATAATCCTTTGGAATATAAATTGCTTAAAGAATTAAGATCTAGTGTCATGAACAATGGGGTTTGAGAACCTTTCCCATTGGGCTTGTCCCAGGGACTTTGTGTTTACCTCCTTTAGACACTAAGCACTTGGATAGCACTTGCTTTTCTGCAGGACAATGCCTAAGTTTCCATGTTAATTTTCAAAAACGAGCAAATGAACAAGCACAACAGAATTGAATGGTAAAACATCCTGAATTACTGAGGACATGCTGTTGGGAACAGGTCCATACTCAGATCTAATCTCACAGTTAACCCGTCCAGACCAGGCTCCTCAGCATGTAGCTCTCATGATGAAACAAGCCTGGGCAACTATTCCTGAGGAAGGTATTCCTACTCAGTTCTTTTTTTCATATTCTTCAGGACTCCTGGGAGCCTTATGCCCAGTTCATAGATTGGTTATGAGAAATACCAATAGCATACCCCACAGAATTAGAGAAAACAATTGTAAAATTTATTTGGAACCAGAAGAGACCTAGAATACCCAAACAATTTTGAGCAACAAAAGCAAGTCAGGAGGCATCACAACCCCTGACTTTAAATCATACCACAAAGCTACCATGATAAAAACAGTATGGTAATGGAAAAAACCAGACGTGAGGATCAATGGAGGAGACTAGTAGATGCAGACACAACTCCAAACACTCAACCACCTTATCTTTGACAAAAGGGCCAAACACCCTCACTGAAGAAAGATAGCCTCTTTAATAAATGGTTCTGGAAAAAATGGCTTTCCACATGCTGAAGACAAAATTAGATCCATGTCTCTTACCATGCACTCAACTAAAATCAAAATGGATCAAAGATATAAATATTAAAAGAGAAACACTAAATCTGCTGGATAATAGAATAGTTAGAATTCTTGAATACATTGGTGTAGGCAAAGACTTTAATGAACAAAACCCCAACTGCAAGAGAAATATAATAAAGAACCAACAACTGGTATCTCATTTTATTAAAAGCTTTGGCACAGCAAAACAAATCATCAACAGAGTGAAGAGACAACCCATTGAGTGGCAAAAAATTTTTTCCAGCTGTTCCTCAGACAAGAAACTAATATCTAGACTATATAAAGAACTAAAAAAATCAGACCCCCAAAATTTAAAGACCCAATCAAAAAATGGGCATCTGAAATGAATAAATATTTTCCAGATGAAGAAGTAAAAATAGTAAATAAATATGAAAAATGTTCAACATCACTGGTCATTGAAGAGCTGCAAATTAAGACAATGCTGAGATTCCATCTTATTCCAGAAAGAATGGCTGTTACCAAGAAATCAACCAATAACATGCTGTAAGGGTTGTGGGGAAAAAGGAACCCTTGTGCAACCACTATGGAAATTGGTGTGAAGATGCCTCAAAAATCTAGGACTAGAGGTTCCATTTGGCTCAGCTATTCCCCTCCTTGGTGTCTTCCTGAAATAATTAAAAGCATCATACCACAGCCATATATGCACACCCATGTGCAGCACAGGTTGTAATTGCTAAATCTTGGAAACAGCCCAAATACCCATCAACCATGGAATGGATGAAGGAGATATGGGTTTTTTTTTATACAATGGAGTACTACTCTGCCATAAAGAAGGATAAACCTGTGACATTTGTAGATAAATAGATGCACTTTGAGATCATACTCTTAAGTGAAATAAATTGAACACACACGTGTAAATACCATTGTTTTTCTGGTGTGAGAAACCAAAAGTGTAAATAAGGACCAGAATATGTACTAGATATTATGAAATAGGAACATAATGATCAATTGGGAAGGAGAACTGGGGAAAGGGAAGGAAAGGAAAAGAAAAGAAGGAAAAATGGAAACAAAACTTTTTAAATAAGGAGGGGAAGAGGGATTGAAGGGAAGATAAAGGGAAAGGGGCAAAAACGGAATTGAGATAAGTCATGCACAGATAAGAAGTCCCTACGAAGAAAGTGATCGTATGTATTTTCAAAATGTACCAATACATTTAACTAATAAAAAAGACCCATGTGAGCCTGCTCAAACAACCAGAGACATGCTAAAATAGTGTTCAGATTTGTTATGTCATATTTTGTTGTCTGCATTTACTATACAGGAGGTGAGTGATGCTGGAGACTCTGGTGAAGATAAGAATTAAGTGGGGCTGGGCACGGTGGCCCACCCCTGGAATCTGAGCACTCTGGGAAGCTGAGGCAGGAGAACTTCTGTAAGTTCAAGGCCAAACTGGACTACATAGTGAGTTCAAGGCCAGCCTGAACTACACAGTGAGACCCTGCTTCAAAAAAACAAAACCAAAAAAGAAGGCGACGTCATGCTGGGAATAAGGGCCCCATCCCCACACTCACCTTCAGCAACTTCTAAAGGGCCTTGGGATTTGCGAAGCTCCTTCACTGTTTCCAAGAACTCTTTGCCTCCAGCCTTTTCCAAGGCCTTACCTGCAAACAATAAGAAGCCATGTGGTTGTTCTCTTCCCCTGCTCCCACATGTCTCAGATGGCACCAGGTTTGTCCAGACTGGGAGGACTGCTGGACCAGGTGGGAGAAGGAGGTGCTCCCCTCAGTTCTCATCTGACGCATTTGGAGATCTTGATGCCTGGGCCAGGTCGCAGCTCTCTCTCTTTATTAGTCATTATTACAGGCTGAGCATCCCTGATCTGAGAATCTGAAATCCAATACTTTTTGAGCATCAACATGTAAAATTCCACACCTGCTCTCAAGTGACTCCTGGGTCAGAGTCAAAACTCACAGGTGCTCAACACAGTGTAAAATGACCTTCAGGCTTGTGGATAAGATATATATGAAATAGATATTGTATTTAGACTTGCATTCCCTCTCCAAGATATCTCATCATGTCTATGCAAATATTACAAAATCTGAAAAACTACAAAACTGGAAAGCATTCTGGTCCAAAGCATTTCAGACAAAGACCACTCAGGCTGTATTATTGTTATTACTATTACTATTATCTAGTTCAGGATATTTCCTGGGTGACAGAATTTTCTCTCTCCACACTGAGGCATAGCACAGCTACAGAAAGAAGACTTCCAGAACTACTTCAGAAAATGTCAAGAACAAGGGAATGAGTGCATTTGAAATGAGGGGGAATACTTTTTTTGGGGGGGGTTAAGGCAATGTGTCTTTTACTGTAATATTTTAAATGGAAACATCATTGTATTTTTTTTTTTAATCACACAGTATAAAACAGGAGAAGCTAGGATACCTATCAGAAGGGATTTGGGGCCTATGGGAAGTCTTTCCTCTGTGGAGAGAGCAAGGCCTGGGACCTGTAAAGGATGAGAAGGAATTGTCCCTGCCTACCAGTGTGTAAGAGAAGTTCTGTGTCTCTGTAGCTGTCATCCCCCAGCACCTTCTGTTATGGTTTGTGCCTAGATGCCCCCTCAAAGCCTCATGCAGTCATGGTGGGGGTGGGCTTTTCACAGATGGCTCAATCTAGAGTTTATAATTGATTCATGGTCTACTGTTGGGATTAAGGGTGTGAGTACTACACCCACTGTAGGGCAAGTAGCCTCCATAGAATATAAAGGACAGAAAGAGGCTTGTCTCTCTCTCCCTTATTGTTTTTGCTGTCTTGTGAGCACCATGAACTGTTCTCTGTGATGATCAACTGCCAAGGCACCCTGCCTTGAAGCCAGCCAATTATGGACTGAAACTGCTACAAACTGTGAGCCAAGTAAATCTTTCCTCCCTTAACTTTGGGCATAGACTATTTTGTTTCAGCAACAAGAGAAAAGAAACTAAAACAGAATTTGGGACCAGAAGTGGGGTTGTTGCTGTGACTATACCTGACCATGTGGTTCATGCCTTTGGCAATCACTTTTGGGAAGCATCTGGAAATGTTCAGAGATGCTAGCCGAATAAGCAGCACTAAAACACCTTAGGCTGTACTGTATGGAAACTCTGGTTAGAGCTCAGAAGACCAGAAAGCCAGTAAAGACCAGGATCAGAAGGTTATGATGAGAAGGACTGATTGGCTCCTGGATTCTAGATAATGTATGTTATGCTTTGGCACAAAATTTGTCTGCATTTGGCTTATGTTCAGAGACTGCCCGAGACTGAGATTAAGGGCACCAGACTAATTAACCTTGTAGAAGAAATTTCAAGGCAGTCAAATATTGAGGCTGTGGCATGGCTACTATTGGGTTGGGTAGTTTAGCCAGGTCTATGTTGAGAATCAAGAGCAAAGAGCCCTGCAGAATGATTTAAAATACTGTGAGTTGGGCCAGAAAGGAAGCTCCAGTAAATCTATGGACTGCAAAGACAGAATAGAGATTTTGTTTGCTGAGAAGGAAAAGGAGACTAGAAAAGATGGCCTGAGGGCATCACAAGAAGCAGCAGGACTCAACCCTTTGCAGTCTCAAAATTGCAAAAATGAAAGACTTTGCTTTGAGAAGAGAGTCCCATAGCATCATGTTCCAGAATGGTAGTGGATAGAGAATTTGTTCCTTGGAATTGGATTCAGAGTTCTCAGCAATCCAGGCACTCAGCTCCTATAACCAAGAGAGAAGGAAGCTGGCTACTGTTCCAGCTGGCAGCAGACCTTGGCATTATCCATGTGGTGCTAGTTTTAGGTGCATGCAGAATGGAAGAGTTGTGGGGTCAGGACAGCTTCCACCCAGATTTCAGAAGAAGGCCTGGGAGGCCAGGCAGTGTGCCCCTAAGAGGGCAGTATGTGAAGCTGTGAATGTGAAGCCAAAGGTACAATGGAGACCTCAGAAGTTTGGAGAAGCCAGGAATGTAGATCACCTGAGGAAAACTGCAAGGAGGGAGCAGAGCAGGCCCAAGAGAGAAGCCATGGAAGCTATAGCCATAGACAGTGCCAGAGGGGTGGAGCCATCCAAGCCCTTTGGAGTTCACATCTTGTCACAGATTGCTTTGGATGCTGGACATGGAACTACAGCATTTAATGTTTGCCTTGCTAGATTTTGGACTTGCTTGGGTCCGTTCCTTTGTATACCCCATATGTAACTTTGGGAATAGAAAAGTCTGTTTTGTGCTATTGAATGTTGGAAGTGTTTAACTTTCTTTTCATTTGTACAGGGGCTGATAGCTAGGAGTTTGCCTTAAATCTCAGACGAGAATTGGGACTTGCGCTTTTCAGCAGTGCTGAAACTGTTAGAACTTTGGCAACTCTTGGAGATGGACTAAATGCCTTTTGTATAAAGGAATGTACATGAGTCTTTGGGGAGCCAGGGGCAGAATGTTACAGTTTGTGCCCCCAAAGCCTCAGGCAGTCATTGGGGGTGGGCTTTTCAGAGGTGGGTAAATCTACAGTTTGTGATTGATTTGTGGTCCAATGCTGGGAATAAGCCTGTGAGTGCTACATCCACCCTAAGGCAGGTAGCCTCCATAAAATATAAAGGACAGAAAGAGGCTTGTCCCTCTCTCCCTTATTATTTTTGCTATCTTGTTGGTGTCATGAACTGTTCTCCTCTGATGACCCCTGCCAAGCCACCAGGCCTTGAAGTCAGCCAATTATGGACTGAAACCACTACAAACTGTGAGCCAAATAAACCTTTCCTTGCTTAACTTTGGGTATTAGGTATTTTGTCTCAGCAACAAGAGAAAAGTAACAGACATTTCCTATCTCTTTTCAACAGAGCGAGTGGCCTCTGATGCCAGGGTGGAGGCTTCAGTGAGCCTAGCAGCTGTGGTCCTGATGCCACTGCCCAGGACTGAGATGCTGGCTATGGCCTCCAGCCCCCTCAGAGGCCATCCTTTACCCCAAGGGAAAGTGTTTTCTCTGCTCACTTCAGCCTTTCAATGGATGCCTTCACATAGTTCTATCTTGTAAAAATAGACAAGATGGTGACAAATGGATGAGATGTTTAGCTTATTTCCAGTGACCTTGATAGTTTACTTACCTCCCAGCTCCTTGTTTCACCTTTGCCACTCATGGGACAGGTGGCAAACCACTGGGGAAATAATTCAGTGCTTATAGCTTTATGGACCACCTATTTTTCCCCTAGATGTCTTTTACCGATAGCATACTCAGTAAACTTAAAATGTATGTGATAGTTAATCCAAAACATACAAATGCACAACAACATTTATAACAGCACTTCTGAGAGCCCCATCTGGAAACTACCCAAATGCTATCAATGGTAGAATGGTTCAATAAATTGTGGCATTTTCATAGAGCTGAATACTACACAGCAAAGAAAATGAATAAACACAACCACACTCAACAGCACAGATGGGGTTGGGGATTTAGCTCAGCAGCACAGCACCTGCCCAGCAAGCACAAGGTCGTGAGTTCAATTCTTGGTACCAGAAAAAAATAAAAAATAAAAATAAATAAATGAGTCAACAGCATGGATGGATTTCCCAACCAAGCACTACACTGAGCAAAAGGAGCCAGGCAGTGAGAGTACATAATTTCATTTGAATAACACTCCAAACAGATGAATGCCATTAGAAGATAGGATAGTGGTTACCACTGGAAGAGACAATGACTGGGAAGGGGGCTGGGGAGCATTTCTCTGGTGCTGGTAAAGTCTTGCTTCCTGATCTAGGTGCTGGTTGTACAGGGATGTTCACTTTGAGAAAAATTCATCAAGCTCTACACTAATGATCTCTCTCTCTCTCTCTCAAGCTACAGTATGAAATTCACAAGATATACACAGAAATAAAAAAAGTAATTTACTCTCTAGTGATGCCATTAATTACACACAAAGATAGAGTTTGACATGAGACCTCAAGCAGCGGATATTGGGTAGAGCGATTGACTGTGTGAGAATTTGCCTGAAAAGTTTGCGATCCCATGGTACCACTACCGAAGTCCCAGGACCTTACCTATATCTTCTTTGAGGTCAATTTCAGCTGTGGTTGGGTGGACGATGCCCTCCACTCTCATGGAGCCAATATGGCTGATGTCACTCTGAGTCAGGGACAGCTGAGTTAGGAAGAAAAAATGGAAAACATGGGAAAGATCCAATCCCGTTGAAAACTTTCATATTTTACTTGACAATAATTAATTCTCTCAATTATTCATACTGATCAGTATGAGGGTTGTGGATAGCCACAGGCTCAAGTTTCTCAGGTGTTTGGTTTGCAGTAAGCTCGCTTGAGCTCAGTGGATTTGATTTTTCACACTGAGGCCAACTGCATGCAATAAATCTGCTTGCTCTCCTAGGAGCAGGAATGGGAGCTTCCCCCTTCTTTCTTTCCTTTATAGTTTATGTCTTTGATTCCCAACCCTGATGGCTCAGGTCATTGGTAGCATATCCTCTCAGTAGCTCCTGTCTGGGAGAGAAGCCCAGGGCTTGTCTCTGGTTCTTGGAGCAGCACAGAACTTTTGGGATAGGGAACCAAAGCCAGCCATTTTACCAGGGGGAAGTCATGGGCTCTGGGCTTTCTATCTGCCTACATCTGGTCCCCTTGACTTTTGTAGACCACATTCTTGGGGCTGGCCTATGTGTTTGTGGCAGAGTAGAATGAAGGGCATTTGTCATCATTTCCCTATGTGGGTAAGAATTTCCCCATCCCCTACTAAGTGTGAAAGAAAGCTAATCATCATAACCATGGATGGCCCCTGGAGGGGACATAAATTCCCCCTCTTTGCTTCCCTTTTCTCTTCCATCAGTGATGAATTAGGAACCCGTACATTTAAGTTCCTCTTAGAACATGCTCTCCCAGCCGCTTGAATGGAGGTGCACTCCACTGTCAGACTGCAAATGTTCAGCGACCAGAGATATGATTAACTGACTATTTCCTTGTGTGTATCTCATTTCAGCCCCAGTTGACTTGATAGATAAATTGTCCGCTCAGTAAACTTTACCCCAGTGGGAATGAATTATTTGCATGTCTGGCTGGCTGCTGTTGTGTTGCTGGAGACTGCTCGAATGTATAGCTGTTTGTTTTCTTTCTGCAGTCCAGGAAGGCAAGCAGACTGACTTATTGGCAAATAATTCATTTCTAACACTGGGGATATTCGGGAAACATATATATCTATTTTCTTTCTCTGATAAATTACATTGAACCATGGGAGAAAGGCCTCTCTGAGGCTTCTGGAAATGGTTAGCTATGAATTTTTTCGTGGGTGCAGAAATAACTAGGGCCTGGGGGATTCCCAGCAAAACCAGTAATGGCATCCTGTCTACAGACCAGAAAGATTCTCTGTGCTTAGCTCTGGCTGACCAATGTCAGTGTGAATGATTCCAGCACTGAAGGGTCTGTTCACTCTCACAACGCAGAAATCACTATAGCTTTTTAGTTTAAAAATGAATAATTCAAGACTAGAGTGAAAGTCATATTCAGGGAGCAGAGGATGAAGGAGGCATCACTGCTGTAAACAGTAGGTTATAAAAATGTACTAGTGTTATACGACGGCACATTGTGGTTCTCTTTATTACCTTCTGTCCTAGAACAAGGCTCTTAGAAGACAAGATGGTGAACCCATCCCCAGGCCCATCTTCAGAGGTGGAATTTGAAGTTCCTTCTTTATCACTGTCCTTTGGTTTGGACTGTTGATTAAAAAAAGTCAAAAGGATAAATGAAAAGCAATCCAGAGTAAGCCCAAGATGGCTATACGAGGCTTGTCCTCCGCTTGCCACCAACCTGAATATGGAAGGAAGTGATTAGGTGTTAGATTTTTTTTCTTTTGATGCTGTGGATTGAACCCTTGGCCTTGTGCATGCTAACATGTACTCTGCCATGGAGTTACACCCCCAGTCCTCTGCTGTTCCCTGATGGAGGGACGCAAGGAACAGCAATCTGAAATGCATACAGGGGATCACCGGACCCTGTAGTCCTCACCTGGACACAGGTACATTGTTCTTGCCCTGCCTTTATGATGATAAACATAGGGCCAACTGGGGTGGTTCACAGTGCCTTGCTCAGCCTCCCTTCTCCCCAGGATTTCCCTGGCACCCAGTAGCAGTGGCATGAACCCTTGGAAGGTTCTTTTATCATGGAGATCTATGGAGTGAAAACTTCACAACCTCTAAGGCAGCCCCGCTGTCCAAGAGAGCTTTTTCTGATGGAAATGCTGTCTCTGCAGTTCAATACTACTGAGCACTTAAAATGAGGCTTGTGAACGGGGATAGCTTAGTGGCACAGTGCCTGCCTGGCAGGCTCAAGGTCCTGAGTTCAATTCCTGGTAGCAAAAAAAATAAAAATAAAAAAGAAAAGAAAATGGGGTTTGTGCAATCAAGGACCTGAACATTTTTTTAAGACAAAGTCTCACTATGTAGTCCAGGCTGGCCTTAAACTCACTATGTAGCTTAGGTTTGCCTCAAACTCACAGCAATCCTCCTGCCTCAGCTTCCTGAGTGCTAGGTTTACAGGCATGCACCACCACACCTGACTGGACCTAAACATTTTTTTTAATGTTAGAGAGAATAGTAAAAAAAAGAGCAATAGCAAAATACCATCATCACAGACAAAAACAAAACAAAGCAAAAACATTAAAAGTGACACAGGGTTTCCAAACAAAATGACAGGAATCAACAGTGGTCATTATATCACATATTATTATCTTCAACGAAGTTGCTCAGACCACCAGATGTAATGGGTGGTCTGATTGATCAAACCATTAAAGAGAATAAAAATAATAATTAAAAGAACATTAGAGATGATACAGCGTTTCACCAGACAAAATGGTAGGAATTCACCAATGGTTGTTCTATTGCATATTGTTGTCTTCAAATCAGTTTGCTCAGATTACCAGATATAAGCATGCAAAAGTGGTCAAAATAAAAAAAAAAAAAGCATTAACTGTTCCTTCCAATAAACTACCAGACATCAGCATTACAGTTATCCCAGCTATCCTATATACATATATATGTGTATATACATATATTTTTTTTGCCTTCTTTCCTTCCTTCTTTCTTTTTCTTCCTTTCCTCATCCCAGTTGTTCCTTCCTTTGAGCAACTTCTTTCCCTTTCATATTATCTATTGTACATCTTGGGTTTTATTTACTCTTTCAGGTTCTTACATTAGGGAGATAATATGATGTTTATACACGCGGGTCCCCTAGAGTTCCACAGCAAAGAACCTGGGTGATCTGTCACAGGGTTGAGGCCTACAGAATCATTTGAAGAAAGGCAGGAAATGCTCTCACAGAAACACTTTTGTGGAAGGACCTGCATGCCTTAAGTGTAAGCGTACCTGGCTGGCAATGTTGTAGATCACATCTCTTACACTTTTGTCTTGGTTCCTCCTGAGAAAGTCCTCTTGTGAAACACCATGAGCATACAAATATCCATGGGGAGGAGCACTTTTCTCCTGCAACCATGGTAGGGTATTGTTCTCAAGCAAGTGACAATGCCTTGTGCCTTTCCTATGTGACTTGCAGCATGATCTGTATGGAGATCCTTTATACCCAATATTTTCAGTGTTAAAGACAGGACAGAGCTCTGTGTGTGTATGGCATAATTTTCAAGTTCCTAGATATTCCAATATGCTTTGTCACCCAAATTTGTTTCTCATTCATCAATGATTTTCATAAGCCATCTTTTAGTCAGATTATGTCTTCTGACAGCCTTCCATAGTTCAATGGCCACAGGCTGATGTGGCTCGTCACAGCACATATCTTCCACAGTTTTTCTCCAAAACTGCATTCCCATCAGTCCAATTGTTTTCTCAGAAACTGAGTCCTTCACCTGAGCCAGTTCCACATTGAAGCCCTCAGTGCAAAAGCGAGCTTTGGGATCCTGCAGGGGGCAGCAGGGAGCATAAATAGCTTTCATAATCACGTTTCCGCAGCAGCTCCAGGCAGTACCCAGCTATGCCTGGGCCGCCCACACTGCTGGCTGCCACAACGCTCCACCTCTCCAAGGGCCCTGGCAGTAGTCTCGTGTGAACCCACAACTCCAGGGCGGCCGGCAGTGGCATAGGTCTGGACCGCCAAGCTGTAGCAGTGTGGAGGCCACCTGGACCTAAACTTTTAATGTGGTTTAATTTTAAATTTCAACAGCCAGGTGGGATGGTGCACGCCTGTAATCCCAGCACTCGGGAGGCTGAGGCAGGAGGATC